TTTAGGCCAACTGAATGTCATCTGGTTTATTCAACCAAAAATTGAGAGAGAAGGAAAGTATTGAAACAAACAAACGAAAGAAAGCAGTTCTTAAGACTAGCAGTAAATAAATCTGTACAACAATTCAGTCTGTATAATAGGATGAAACAAATCTACATCTTTTCTTATTTTGGTGCTTTGAATTATACATACAAACAACAATTACAGGGACTTGTTCACAAAGCATGTAGGCCTAGAAAAGGGCTCTCTGAAACCCTCAATGGCAATTGGTGAAGGGTAACACTGATTGCCTGGAACTGGAACTGGTATTTCCTTTGTAGGGGCCAACAGCTTTGAATGAATGATTCGCTTACAACTTTTTTCTTTTTTTTTTTCTTTTAATGCATCAAACAACTGTGGCCAGTGACAGGAAAGAAAACTGGCAGTTTGTCCATTTGGATATCAGACCTAGTTTCTTCTTAATTTCCACACTCTGTTTCCCCCATGTTCCTTAAACTTCTTGGCATCCTTCATGCCCTACAGCTACCCAGATGCAATAAAGTCTTCCTCAAATGTACAGTATTTCTTACAATATAAGTTATATGCAATGTTCAGCATTTTTTTCACAGCACTAGAGACCCTGTTAAATAGGGGATATGAGTCAGAATGGCTTATTCACAGATGGGGTCCAGATTCAGTGGTTGGAACACAGACACCACAGTGAGCTCCTTTGCAAAGTGGCAAACATAATTTCGCTTTCTGCCTTCAAAAACATGTATCCATTGCGTTTAGGCTTCATGATTCTGCTCCTGCAAAAATGCAAGTCGAAGTGGGCTGCAGGGACTCTCTCTGGGGGCCCTGTGAGCCTCAAGCAGGGCTCTAACCCATGGCGGTAACCATACTGGAGGGATGGTGAGGTCCGAAGGACAGGCTGGATGGCGGATGCATCGGCGTGGGCGTGGTCAGCATGTGGCTGGAGTGGCTGAAGGGCGAGATGTGGCTCAGGGAGGACATGTGTCTGGAGAGGGCAGCTGGGTTGAACGAGCTGTTCTTGGGGAAGTCCTCCAGCGAGTCATGCACTTTTTTGCACTTTTTGGATTTGCTAGACATTTTTCGGTTTCTGGTCTGGATGCCTTCCTTCTTCATAGTCAGGGGTCTGTTAATCTAAACAAAGATCAATTTTTTTTTTTTTTTTACTTTTTTCTGCCTCTGAAATGCACAGGCTCTCGCACACCGACACGGGTTCCACTGGCCGCCCTGATCGGGGATCTGTTTCCATTTCAGCCAGCCCCTTCCTCCCTCGCACCTTCTCCTGTCTCTTTCCCAGGGACTGAAGAACTAAAACACGTGCAGTTACCAGATTAGAGACCCACCTAGTATGATTGTATGTCCGGTAATGAAAATAGAATTCACTTGTCTTACTTTTGTAGAACTTCCTTAGACTATTTCATAAGAATGGTAGTAGTGAAGAATCTTCAAGAGGGAAATACCATTTTGTCTACTCTGATGAATCTGCTTTAGAACTTGAGAAGCACTGCCCAGGTCATCCACCTCTAGGTGTTTAAGGCTGTCTGCCTTGAAGAAATGAGAACTGTACTGCTCTACTGAGTGATTCTTGGTTGCCCCTCTTCTACCTGGCCTTTGAAAGATGCCATAAAATCTTCCCCTAGAATGTATACGTAGCAGGGTTGTATGTTACGAAACCATGCCTTTCTAAAAGGTGATCCCTGCCTGCCTTTCTAAAAGCTGATCCCTGCCTGTATCACTCCAACAGCAGCTGCAATGGTGGCAAGTTGCTATTTTCACCCAGCTCTGACTCTCCGATTTTAACTAGACAAACAGCCAACCAACCAATCAACGAGTATTTAATAACCACCTGTGGGGTGCAGAGCACAAAAGGGCACTCATCTTAAACAGGAAAGACCAAGAATGTGCTAAAGAGACAGAGACCAGACCCTACTCCTAAGATCAAGAGACTTTAGTCTCTGAGACAGCTACCATCTCTCTCTTCTTGATAAACCTCATTTGCCTTGTAAAACTACATTTGCTTTGGGGGCCCAGAATCAAGAAAGGAAACTTTACAGAGTAAACAGAAGCTACTCCCCACAGAGAGGCAGAGGCAGATTAACGCCAACAGCAGACGTCTGCCCGGAAGAGCGAACTGCACATCTGGCCATGTTCCCAAGGGAAGGTGGCGAACAGACTCAAGTTGTGAACATCAGGGTCCTGGCTGTTCCTGACTTCCCAGGCTGAAAGCATCACCTTCCACCACAGTTCTCAAGGGTGGAGAACCCTTGACTCTGGATTTTACCTGCCTGTTCCCAAAGCCAGAAAATCCCAGCTAAGAAAGGGAGAATTCAAATGGCCAAGCTGCTAATGGCAGGTAACACCCAGCTTCCCAAAGCTGAGCTGGGAGAGGTCACCTGGAGAAGGAGACAAAGCCCCACACTGGAGCCAAGACCTTATTTCCTCCATACCCAGGAAGGCAACATGGCTGACAGCAGAAGAACCCAGAAAGGTCACTGCTGGAGGAGTGTCTCCGGATTCCACCTTCAAAGTTATCGTCAAGGTAAAGATGCAGCCTACAGAGATGACAGGAATCTACTCCCACATCAAATCCTCACCAAGATAATGTCCTGATACACAGCTCTGAACGCTGATATCTAGCTATACATAGCCAGGTATCTAAATATAATATCTAGTTACACCAATAGCCACACAACTCCAGATAACCAGTCACAACACCAGAGATGCTGATACCAAGCTAGGCAGTTATCTAAACAACTAGATAAGAAGAAAGGGCTTACACCCATGTAGAGATGTCTGGAAGGGCAGAGCAAAACACAACACGATGCAAGCGATGACAGCGTTAATAGATTATTATCTCTTATTGTTCAATACACATCAATCGCCTCCTTTTACAAATTCCTGGTAAATCAGAGAAGACAGAAAAACCACTCTTGAGGATGAGGAGGTTTCTGCCTCCCACTCACCAGAGCCCAGCCATGAAGATCAAGCTCATTAAGATGGAGGAGGTAGAATTGAGTCATGGACAGGATTCCTCGGCTTTTCTTTGATTTGAGAAATTCATATTCTTCAGAAATATATATATATATATATATACACATAGTAGATCAGACACAAGTGAGATTGTATCTCATCCCAACTAACTATTCAAAAAATGTATAGCTAGTTAATCTCCCGTAATTCCTATACTTCCATGGAAATAGGGATGGAATATACATATACACACAATTTGTTACAATTTTGTTGTACTCTAAAAGAAGACAGCATTCCCTTTCGAAACCCTGGTTCTCCCTAGTCCTGACACTACCGACCTCTCAGGAAGCCTCCTGACTCTTAAATGGACCCCGACTCTTCTACGTTCTCAGCCACGTTGTCTTGTGCAACTGACTTGCTTTTCTGAGGCATCATTCCTTCAAGTAAAACTGAAACAAAAATAATTTCTGCTCTGTCTACATCATGGGACTATCTGAGGCTCAAATGTAATCAAGTAACATGAAAGTTCTTTGAAATCCATAAATTACAGCCCAAAAATAACTTCATAGGCAGTGCTGATGACCGGATAGCTAATAATAATCATGAACCCCTCTCTCTATTCCAGTCAACAGGCAAATTCCCCAAAGTGAAAACGAGCTTGGATTTAATTGCTGATAAATGTACATAGACCACAGTCCCAGGACCTAAGGGAGAATAAGGATCATATAAGACTCTCATTTCATTCACTGCACCAGGACCACAGCAAGAGAGGCAGGGAAATGAGTGTATCGGGTTCCTCGGAATCACAGCAACTTATTCCCAAAAGGTGAAAAAGAAGCAGGGTGCTGGGGTCACCCTGAGAAGTTCTCTGTGACTCAAAAAATCCAACCAGAAGTGCTTCCTCCCCAGTTCCCAGGTATTCCTGAGTAAGAGGAGTTCGATGCCAGAACCGCCCGAAGCAAAAGTCCCTGTCTCCTCCCTGTTCAGCTCCAGACTTTGCCAACGTCAGGTTGGCCAAGAGAATTTAGGAGAATCAGAATGAGCTAAAAAGGAGAGAGAGAGAGAGTGAGAGAGAGAGAGAGAGAGACCAAAATGACCATTTTTGTCTTTGGAATTAATGTAAACTTGAGTCCTCACCAGGGTCATGGCCTGTGAGCCAGAATGGTTTCAGGGAAAAAAAAAAAAAAAAAAAAAAAAAAAAAAACTTGAAAAAAAAAAAAAAAAAAAAAAAAAAAAAAAAAAAAAAAAAAAAAAACTGAAAAAAATTTTTCAAGATTAAGATATATTACAAAATGAGAAGACCCCCAAATGGAAAGATTAGAAACGACACAGCTAAACTCAGGTGACTGGCAATTCCCATTCTGCCAACGTGATATAAAAGGAGAAAACGACAGTTTCTTTTCCCTGGTGTGGTAACGTCCCCCCGCCAGCATCCTCAGGAGCTAGCTCTGTGCATGTGAAAGTTGGTTAGGACAAAGACATCAGATGGGATCTCTCAGACATTTCATTCCACGTCTTTTATACAGAGAATCCATTTCAAATTCGCAGTGCAGATTTAGCCAAGACTTTTCACCCTCAGTAACCGAATGGGTCCTCTTAGTCCCCAGAGACCCTGCCACGCATTACAGTTCTATTTACCTTTCTCTTTCACTTCACTTTCTCCTTCTGCAAAAAGTTTAAAATGTAAAGAAACAACAAACTAGGACTGGTAGCTTTTTTTGTTTTCCAAAAGGAAGACTTTTTTTTTTCTTATGAACCAGACAGACCCACCCAGCACATCAGATTGCTGCATTGTACATAGTATGTTTAATGCCTACCAAGGGGGTGGTGTGGCTGTCAGGCTGCAAGCCCCCTCGGCCTCAGCAAGGCAATGCTATACAAAGTAGTCTTCCAAGCTTGGTCCTATTGCATCAGCTATTTGGAGCCTGTGATCTGGGCCCCTGGGTGGGCGATTCACGTGGACAGGGTGGTGGTGACGTTGTTTGCTGGTCACCAACAGGAGGGGAGCCCTGTTCTTGCTGCTCCCAGTCCACTTACATTGTGCAGCTTGTAGTAGAGCCCACAGGCATTGCAGACGGGGTCCCCGTTGGCGTTCCTCCTCCAGAGCGTGGTTGTGGTGGTCTGACAGTTCGCACAGGACGTCCCTGCTCTCCTAGCTGCAGACAGCCTTCGCTTGGGCTTGATGAGGGGCCGGTTCTGTCCGTTCATCTTGTGGTGGAGCCCGCAGGCGTTGCACAGGTAGTGCCCCGTGCCATCGAGGCTGCCCCGCACTTCACACACTCCCTGCCTTCTGTGCTGGACCGGGCCTTGGGCCTGGACGTGCATCCAAAGCCGGCGGGGGAGCTGCCCAGCAGGCTGCTGGGGGGGAAGGGTCCGGAGCTGTACTCGGGCACGTAGGGCGGGTAGGTGGTGATGGGGTGGTGGGCTGACGAAGAGGCGCCCCCCAGGACGGTCATGCTGCCATGGAGTGCGAGGACTCCAGCTTCGTGCTGTCAGGCAGCGGCACCTGGTACTTGAGGCACTCTTTCTCAGCCTGCCGGGCCAAGCCGGCTGAGCCCGGGGTGGACAGCGACTGGTCTGGGGAGACGTCCTTCGGTGGGGTGGGCAGGAAGGTGAAGAGGTGCGGGCTGGTGTGGCCCCTGACAGGGAGGAGGATGAGGCTGGGGGTGGGGGGTAGACGGAGAGGGGCCCCGGGGAGCCGCGGTGAATGGACGTCTTGGAGAAGGGGCTGAGGTTCCAGGGGGAGGCGGTGTGGTGGCTGCCCAGGGCTTCCCCGCCATCCAGCCAGGGCAGGGATCCGTGAAGCAGAGGCGGGCAGCACACCTGGCTCCCGTGGTGAGTCGGAGGTTACCTCTGCACCGTGGCCCTGACAAACTTTCCGTAGGAGGGAAGGACGCGGTTGCCTTGGCCGTCGATGTTAAAAAGCACATCCACCTCCTCCGGCAGTGGGTACTGCGCAGGGTCCATGTAGGAGTAGCCGAGGCCCGGGAAGTGCGTGTCCGGGTGCTGCCTGTTGATCACGGCGGGGTGGTGGTGGCTCACCCAGCGCAGCCGGTCCGCCGTCACCTCCATGGCCTCGGCTGCCTGCTTGGATCTTTTTAGGAATTCAAACAACCTGGAATTTGTCACCTAATATTTTTTTCATGAGAATAATTTTTAAAAGATGCATTAGATTCATTAAATCACTATTAGATTATCACTCATTCATTTTATTAATTCAATAAATATTTACCAAAGAACCATCATAAGACAGAAATTGGGCCAGTTGTTGAGAATTCAGAGATGAAGACAGAGCTCTTGGCCTAATGGAGTCCTGATTTTAGTGATGATTATATTAAGGCGATTTCTGTAAAATGCTCAATTTCCCTCCCTCCAGCATCTTGGCTGAATGCGAGTGATGGTGCTTTTTTACAGTGAAGCTACCCTGGATCCCTGCAATAGTGTTATTCACTGAGCATGAATAATGGATTGGTTATTGGCAATTCTGTAGAGCAGAACTGACTATTAGTGAACCTGGAGCTCACTAAAGGGAGCTCAGTTATTGGAATGCCAAAAGGACATATCAATCAAGATCTCTCATAATAAGGGGATAAAATGCCACATGCTATAAAAAATACATTACAATAAGTCTCTAATGTGACTTTTATTGTTCTTAACAGTACTTAGAAACACAGCACAGCAAAGTGTACCTGCGCAGTCACTTTCACCTGTCTAGATTCTCCTTGCAGCTTCCTCATTGGATGTGATTACTCCTCTGACACATTTAAACTATGGGTGATCTGCTGAGCCTCTCTCCCCTCTCCTTTCTATCATGACACATCTACTGTAATCCAAAATGCTCATTCTTACCTCACCTGCTCAGGCATTAGCTATTGTATCTCACTTTACTTTTCAAAGCAATTATCCTTCTCTGAGATTATCTAGTTTGTATACTTAAGTGATTTCTTGTTTCCCCCCACTAGAATGTAAACTCCGTTAGAACAGGGTTCTTGTCTGCCTTTTTCATTGGTATAGCCCCAGTATACAACAGGTGCTGAAAGGCTATTGGATGTGTGAGTCAATGGAGGAATGAATGGATCAATAAATATTTGCTCTGAGGGATACAGATAGAACATACCATGTTTTCAAGACTCTCACTTTCCAATTGAGGAGATAACACGTCTACAAGTGAAAACGTGGCCAGGGCATGATGTACGAAATGACTGGCAGATGAATTCTGTGGATGATCAAGAGAAGGAGCCACACTAGGGACGACCCAGATCAGGAACTGCTTCATGGAGTACTTACAGAGTGTCTTTCCAGGGGGCTTCTCCTGTGAGGCTTCCTGAATGCTGGGATCAATTATCTTGCTTGAGACACCAGGTAAGACTCCACAGAGAAAATACCCTGCTTGACCTGCCCTACCAACCTCTCCACGGCACTCCAATTTCTCACAGCTCATTCCTGCTCCAGGACTTTTCCATTTATTTATTACCCAATTGCCCTGGAGTGCTCTTTAGCTAGATGGAAGAGTAGACTCCTCATCTTGCATGTCTCGCCCCCATCACAATCTGTGAGAATGCGTGTTATCTGAAAATTTCCTGTCTGTGCTCTTAAAATCTTTGTAACTAGATTGAAAGCTCCATGCAGTACTGGTCTTTGTAGTGTGCTTGACTTATTCCCATCACCTAGCACAGTGCTGCGAATTGTCTTCTGTGTTTAATGAGTGAGTGAATGAATGACCTTGAAGAATGAACTTTGAGGGAAGTGGTGCAAGCAGAAGGAGATTGACAGAGAAAACATGAGGACATACCAGAAGAGGAGATGGCAGGAGTCCAAGCTCAGAGAGAAGAAACAATTTGGTTAGGCTTAAGTACAAGGGGCAAGAAGGGAGGGATGAGATGAAGTTGGAAAGGGGAGCAAAGGTTGGATACTGAAGGACCTTAAATGTCAAAGAATTCAAGCAGGGGTGACATATAATCCTGTTTGTGATTTGGAAAAGTCTTATCCACATATCAGCTTAGTCAATTGAGAAACATATTAAATAAATGGCACTTTTAATATCAGTACTACTACCGCTGGCTGCATTAAGGAGCTGGAACTGAGACTTAGAATGCAAGCTGTATCACAAAGACTCTTTCCATTGGCATAAGGTAATCTTAAATTGATTTTACATTTAAAAATCATAATAGTAACGATATTTATTTATTTATTTATTTATTTATATTTTTCACTTATTTTTCTTTGAGACAGAGTCTCACTAACTGTTGCCCAGGCTGTAGTGTAGTGCTGAAATCTTGTCTCATTGCAACCTCCGCCTCCTGGGTTCAAGCGATTCTCCTGCCTCAGCCTCCTGAGTAGCTGGGATTACAGGTGCACTCCACATGCCCAGCTGATTTTTGTATTTTTAGTAGAGATAGGGTTTTACTATGTTGGCATGTTGGGCAGGCCGGTCTCGAACTCCTGACTCAAGTAATTCTCCTGCTCAGCCTCCCAAAGTGCTGGAATTATACATGTGAGCCGCTGCACCTGGCCTAAGATACTTATAACAATTCAAAAGTATAGAAATACATCATTCCTTGTAACACTGGTTCTAAAACTTAGAAACAACTAAGATCTCCTTCATTAGCTGAATAGATTCACAAACTGTGGTAAATAAATACAATGAAATATTATTCAACAACAAAAAGAAATGAGTTCTCATGCCATAAGAAGACATTGAGGAATTTTAAATGCATATTGCTGAGTAAGAGTAGTCAGTATAGAAAAGTAGTTGGAATCATAGTGTGTATGCGTTGATATTATTTTTCCAGGTATATTATAAACTCCACATGGGCAACGTATATTTCCTACCTTATATAATGTATAATATGTACAATATGTACCTTGTATAATGCATATGTATATATTTAATAAATATTCTTTATTATAAATATTTACAAATAAATATACATAATATTTGTTCTCCAATCAACCACATAATTAGAGATTTTTTAAAACATCTTTGAGTAATGCAATAGGAGCAATCTATTAAATAAAACAGAAAAATAGTCCAATTTAAATGAAACAAAGCAACTGCCAAATCATTAAATCCAAGTTCTTTATTTTATGGGTCAAATGCAAACATTCTTATAGCTTTTATTGCACATAGGTGTTGGCTGTCATGGTAAAAGAAGATACAACTCTCAACTTCAGTAAAATTTGTTTCAATATTCAATAAAATTTCAATATTATAAGAAAATCAACATGTTGCATTAGTACTGTACCAGGACAGCTGCCTGTGTATACCCTTGTGATTTCGTGTGCACAGTGAGAGTTTGACTCTTTTTTATCCACACCCAAATACTTTTTCATCCCATGACTGGTGGGCTTTTTGTTTTAGGATTGCAACTCTATCAATACTGGGATGTCTGTTCAAGCTAGTTAACTAAGTGTGTTTAACTTCTTCACTCCCAGCACCTCGTAGAATCCCACTGCAATAACAACAAATAAGAACAAAGGTGCCAGGCGCAGTGTCTCAAGCCTGTAATCGCAGCACTTTGGGAGGCCAAGGTGGGTGGATTGCTTCAGGCCAGGAGTTCGAGACCAGCCTGGCTAACACAGTGAAATCTCATCTCTACTGAAAATATAAAAATTAGCTGTGTGTGGTGGTGCACGTCTGTAATCCCAGCTACTCGGGATGCTGAGGCATGAGAATCGCTTGAACCCCGGAGGCAGAGGTTGCAGTGAGCCGAGATTGCCCAGTGCACTCCAGCCTGGGCCACAGAGTGAAAGACTCTGTTTCGAAAAAAAAGAAAAAGAAAAAAAAAGAGCCCATTCATACAAAGACTACAAGGTTGGAGAGACTTGGATAGCATACAGGATATTCACAAGCAATTTTGGAAGAAAAATGGCAGATGAGTGCGTTCTGTTTTAAAAATCATAGCTCAGAGTTGTCCCAGGAAATGGCTGCAGTGTCTAGGGAGGTCTTTCACAGCGATGAAAAGAACTCTAGGTTCAGAGTGGACAGGTATCTGGAAGAACATTTTTTCCTCAGCATCCCTTTATTTATTGATATATCAATGAGAATAGTACCACACATCCCAATGACATTCATCATTTCTGTTGGCAGTGTCTCTGAGGGCAAGTTGCAAGATTTCCAAGACTTCACTGAGTCTTCTCCTGACATTTAGCTTAATCTTGGCAAGTATATCTGACTACTACAATGTGTTAATGATCAAGGAGTATGTCAAATTATGATGTGTCTATTGCAGGAAATTATGGGGTAATACAGACAGTATGCAATGGATCAACCATTATCTATGCTTGGTATTATGACAAAAAGTGATTGATTTTGGCATCAAAATTAAAGTGTTCATCTGGCTCAACTTGTTCTTTGCACACCATCCTTCATTATGACAAGCACATATAGCAAAGATAATGCCTTCAATACAAACTGTTGATTATTGATTAAGCAGATCACATTTGGATGGGCTGCAGTCTCTGCATGTCTAACAGATGGGATCCTTCTGAGAATGCTAGAATAGGGAATTATGACACCTAGCCACTTCAGCCATAAACCTTATGCTTGCACTTTTTTTTTGCTGGTAATTTTATATAGCAAGTTGAGAAAGCTACCCTATGCTAGTATAGACTATACACCAATAATTTTGATAATGAGTTCTAGGATATATTTTTCTTCTTATATCTTTTCCTTCCTACCATCTTACTAGTAATTCATAAGGGATCTGTGTAGTTTGAATGTATTTGAATAACTTTAGCTGTACTGTTTGATTTGACCCAAAGAAGCCAAAAGGACATAAGTATTTCTATGTGTTTTAGAAGCCTGAAGTCAATGAGATGAAACCCAACATCAAGAAATTGATGCAAAATTACTTGTGGATAAAGAAAGCATTAGGTAGTTGGGCGAGAGCAAAATAATTAGATTTTCTGACTTTCAAACATTTGGATTGCAGTAAGAGGAAGCTTTATGCTATTTTTACAATTTCCCGTGCAAAAAGGTGTTTATATAGAAACAACACAGTTGACATATTTGAGTACCTTAAAAAAAGTTAACCATAACCTATTTATTGTTTATTAAAAGGATCAGGTGC